TAAAACAAAGCGTCGCTGGCATGTTTTATGAAACAATCACAAGCTTTGAATATGAGATGATTAGAAGACATTTTACAAATACAGGACTTTTTAATTCATTGCAGTTACTTTTCACCACCCTCTAGGGAACTATAATTTTTAGACATTATTGATCTGAAATATTTTTTAAAATTTATGACTACATCAGATAGGGGCCGAGGGACAATAAAAAATGGTAAACCAAGTGTTTCTTTGTGTATTTTATAACTCCAATAGGTATTCTATTATAAAGAAGACCTTCATATTTTTTTCTGCATAAAATCCGCTTGATGGGTCTCTCATACACATGTGTTATGGCTAGAGAGGGTATACAGAGGTTAGAAAAAACTGCAACAAAGTCAAACGCCATAATTTTTACATTTTTTTTTTAATTTTATTGAATGAAAGTAAAAAATATCGGAAATAGCATCAAATTTTAGAACAAGTTTAGATTTGTTCGAATTGCTCACCTTTGGCACGAATTATGGCCTTCAAATAGCCAATGAAAGTGCCGCTGCCCAAATGTTGCTCTGCGGTATTTTGGCCCATTCCCGGCGAAGAGCTTGCTTGATAATCGGTGATCGACACTTTGGTATTTTTAAGTGCCAACCTTGCTTTCCAAAAAAAAAAACAGAGACACAATAGTCCAACGGATTGAATCTGGAGATTTTGCTGGCCATTGTGCGCTGGAAATGAAGTGGGGAACCTCATTTTGTAACCATTCTTGGGTAGCGAGTGCTGAGTGCGCTGGTGCTGAGTCCTGTTGGAATGTCGAAGGTCTGCGGCCAAAATGATTGCGTGACCAAGGCTTTAATACACCCTCCAGAATATTTTCGCGATAATATTTGGCATTTATTATGATGCCACGATCGATTAATACCAGCGGAGAGCGACCATCGGCTGTTGTGGCGGTCCACACCATCACCATGGCCGGTGCTTGAGTTCTGGTGGCCAACCGAAGGTGCATACTTTCAGATGACCTCTTTGGCAAGTAAACACGATAATTTTGTTTGTTTACAAACTGCTGGACTACGATCATCGGAGAAACCTGAAATTCGGCACTTCACCACTTTTTGCCAACTTTCGGCCGAAGCAACTCTTTAGCTCTTTTGAGTCTATTTTCTTTCTGTTGCGGTGTAAGTTCTTGCATTTTTTGGACTTTCAATGGCTTTACCCCGAGCTAATTTTTCAATATTTGCCGAATGGAATTGTGCGATATGTTCAGCTCACGAGCCATTTTTCAGCCACTGTGACGCGGGTTTCGATTTCTTCAATTCGATTTCTTTACTTTTCGAACCATTTCTGCTGATGTTGCAGTTTTCCTCCGTCCACTTCCTTGACGCTACCAGTATCACGGTAACGAGCGATGGTATGAGACACAAAAGATTTATTCACATTTAAATGCTGGAGTGCTCTAAGGATAGCCTCTTGTGGTTTTCCAGCTAAATATAAAGAAATCACACTATAACGCTTGAATTCCATCACGAATAACTTTGTTTCTGGAAAATTCTCACCAAAATGCTTTTGTACGCTTGTAAACAATATAATGAGCTGTCACTGGAATAAATTTAAAAGCTGTCGGATGAGTGTATTAGAAATGACAGCTGTCTGTAGTTGGTTGCAGTTTTATCATCTCACCCTGTATATGTAGATAGATGTATAGACAGACTGGTATGTAGATTGATGTATAGATTCCCACAAGGCTTTTCTCATTAGATGATAACGGACACTAGTTTCGGAAGGTCTTAAGATCGTCCTAAAAAAGTGCAACGTGGTGTAACTGGACGAATAACTGTCCAACTTGGTATTCCAACATAAGGAAAGATTTCCCCAAGTCGGACACTTCAACAATGGAAAGGTATCAAGATCAAGCCAGCATAATCTCGATTATGGCATTACTGGACTACGATTTGGAATTGATAAACCCTGGGCTGAAGGCTGTGGTATTCTTGAACCTGACTATGTTGAAAGTGAAACCTAACAGAAAAGGCTTCTGGCCTAATGCCGTAGCTGCATCCGTCCCGTTAAAACCTTGCAAACCCCAAGGTAAGTTCAATGTTCGTACCATGAAGTTGGTAGTAGAGGTTCGAAAGTATATTCCCGATTAACGCCAAACGGAAGGAAATAGGAATCTCGGCTTTGAGTTGGGACCGCAGAACATAAACATACCCTTGTCGGCAGAAGCTGTGTGATTGTTAGGCAACCATCTGCTAATAATCGAAGTGAAGAAGCGTCTAATTATGAAAGTTCTGCAAATATCACATTAGGTCTAAGCTTTCCCCTCCCCACTCCCCCACAAAAGGTCAGAATTTTCAAACAAAATATTTGACTTCACAGAAAGAAAAAGGGTAATTCGATCAAAAGGATCAAATGGTCAAAATTTTGAACATTCATGAAACTCATAAATGCGAAATTAACATCCGATTCCATTCAGTCTTGGTACATCTCAATATTTCCATCAACATAAGATCTATTATAAAAATGGTAGAGATCGGATTATTTCTTCTGGGTTCAAGATTTTGAAAAACAAGACAAGAAGGAGTGGCCCGAGATCTCCCGTCTTCACAACGGATCTTGTGTTAGTAAAAATATTGGAATGTGTGAAGTTTAGAGTTATTTCGGAAAATAATTTCACATTTTATACATGTCCTGTTTGAACAAATTTGAACAAACTTGGATGATCATTTCTGGTTCTATGAGGTAAATTAATTTCTCTGAAACTGTTAACCTTTTTTTGTGTCTAATAATATGAATAACATTTTTTAACTTGTTATTCATTTGAAATTGTTTACAAGGATTAAAATTTGAAAAAAATTAAAATATTTTTCGAAAACCAAAAGATCTTTAAGAATATATTGTCAATTACCAAAATTAGATTTAGAAGTGTATATAGTTTCGAGGAGCAAAAGACCTCTAGTGCGTTTGTTTAAAATATTTTAAATATTAAAATATTATTTCAAGCACTAAAGACCTCCAAAGGTTTATTTCTTACAAATACTTATTTCAAGAATCAAGGACATTTAAGAAAAAAAATTAAATGATAAAATGTGGAGTTCTTACCAATATCCTTTTCAAGAACAAAATGCTATCCAAAAGAGTTTTTCTAAGGATTAATAAATCTCCATACTTGGATTAAAAATTATTTTACCAAAAGACCTTCAAACGTGAATTCAAAAAAAAAAATCAAAAAATTCTTTTGATCCTTCGAAAATTGATCCTTTGAAAGAATAATCTATAAATATTCCTTTGATCTTTAAATAAATATACAAACTATTCAGTTTAATGCTTGGAAAAATATTATGTAAAATTTTTCTTTGATCTTTAGATATAATATTTAATAAAAAATATTTAATATTAATACATATATACGAACCGGGATCCTTCCAAAATATCCTTTTAAATTATTGATATTTGAAAAAAAATATGAAAAAATATGTCGTAAAAAAACCCTCTTTTCCTGAAAAAAATATTTTTAAACCATCCACGTTGATAGTCCTTGAAAAAATATTAAAACAATCAATGTCTGATAGTAAATAAAAAGATGTTTTTAGAAATAAAAGTCTGATAGTATTTAAGAAAATATTTTTAAAAATTCCACTAAGAGCTTAAAAAAATATTATTTGAAAATCCACGTTTACATCCTTGAAAACATATTCCTCACAAGCCACTTTCATTGGCCTTTGAAAATATTCTTTAAAAATTCACATTTATTGGTGGTTTGGACCAAACAAATATTCTCTTCGAGGGTTATCGTGCACCCCAGCCAGCCAGAAAAATAGGCGGGCAAACAGACGGACACCCCTAGATCGACTCTAAATGTCCTGAAACAGATTTGATCCCCAAAGACTTAGGGTCTAAAACCGTTATTTTGACAAGCCACGTTTTGACCGTATCAATTGATATATGTACCTTCTGCAGCCATATGGCTGATGGAATAAAAATCATGTCAATATAAGCCAATAAATATATAAACATTTTTTCTTAATTTTAATTAATTTTTTTCTTAATGATCTTGTAAATATTATATATTTAATGATAGCTATGGAAGAGAACTTCTCTTAAACAAAAGAGCATTTGAAGAGAAAAAAAATTAGATACTTTTCCCATTGTCAGAAAATGAACCAATTGGAAAAATGAGAGAAATTCATTTTCTTGGACTCTCTGAGCGGAAAATGCATTTGAAAAGATACACTCACACACATCTATATAAATTAATATTTAGCCTCTTAAAATAAAATAAAAATATTTTTTAAATAATAAAATTAAATTTTATTATTTTTTTTAGAATATTATTTGTTTTTTTCTTTCCCTCTTCGCTACCCATAAATCATTGCACAAAAGCTCTGGCTGCTTTTATTTATATTTCATTATTACGGTTAATGTGTTAAATTCAAACTAGCCCCGAAATCAAGATTGTGCATTTCGAAGGCAAAGCTTGGCTGGCTGGTTGGCTGGCTGGCTGGCAAATGCCAAAATGGAATTGAGCGAATGTGCGGCGACTGGATTTGAATTTTCGGCCGGACAAACTGGATGAATAAATAACAAAAACAAATGAAATGAAATGAATGAACGCTCTTGACGCTGGTGGTAAAAGCTGGCGTAACGGTAACTGAGCCGCCGTACCGAAATGTGGTTCGTGTAATGGCCAAACAAACACGGTTTGATTGCAGCAGCTGCGGCGTTGGCAACAGCACACTAACACACACACGCACACACCAATGTTAGCCTGGTTAAACAACTTTTCGCCTCCCTCCCGCTCCACAACACCATCATCATCAACATATGATTCATTTTCTTTTCTATCGTTTGTCCCTCTGCATGAGTGGCGGCTACGCTGGAATGCAGGCATGCGCCGCAGCATTTTATAAGACAATATCCGTTACCGTTACTGCTGCTCCGGTTTTTTTTTTTCTTCTCGTGATGGTGGTGGTGCTGGCTGGCTAATGTCTTGTCTAAGCCAATAGCTAGACGACTCCAATGGACACGACGGCAAACCTCGGCGACGATAGCAGCACTTTGTTTTGGCTTTATCACGGGAGTTCATTCAGAAGGTTTTATATATCCGTTCGTTTTACATTTGGAATTCAGTTTGGTGCTTAAACGCGGGGCGCGAATTTCGTTCTCTGGACAAACTGAAATCGTGGTTGGCGTCTCAGTTAATTTTTTCTTCACTTCTTCTTGGCCGCAGCAAAAAATAATTTTAATTATTTCTTCAACAAAACAAAACAAGCAAACATTGGATATAAGAAGAAAAATCCGCCACAGAAAAAAATAACCCAAAAAAGAAAAATATAACGAAAAAATATACCATTTTCATACGAATACCACACAAAGTGAAATTTGTGAGAGAAAAAAATTGCAATTTCGAAATAAAAAAGAAATTACAATAACAAAAAATTGAAATTGAAATTAAAATTTCCAACGTCATAAACACGCATATTGTTCAGTGTAAACGGTAGCGCAGGCAGGCAGGCAATACAACGAAAATCAAGTGCATTTTGGAATTAGCAATTTCAATGCAAATTGTTTGAAGAAGGGAAGAAAAACAAAAAAATTGCGGTATTGAATCGAATTCAATACCCCCTCTTCCATAACTTCAATTTCCTCAAGAAAAAGGATATTGTGAAACTCAAAAAGAAAAAAATCGAAATTTCCCAAAAAACAAAACTTACGAAAAATCCCCCCCTCAACAACATGTCAGTCAAGTGGAAAATAAATGTGCTGCTGGCACTATCCTTCGCCTTATTTGTGGATATACAATTGACGGAAGCTGTGCGCATTGGAGGACAGCCGCAAATACGTTTAAAAGGTAAAAAAAAGCAAAACAACATTCTTCAAAGGATTTAAATGCAAATGAAAAAAAAAAAAATACGAAACAAAAGACTTAAGACACAAACTTGCATAAGCAATGATGTTAAGGACAAGTTTTTAAATAAACATAAAAACATCCAATTTTGAAAACTGGCCAGAGGATAACAAAAATTAAATTAAATCAAAAATTAAAAATCAAAAATTAAATAAAACGCCAAAAAAAAATAATAATATAAAAAACAAAAGACTTAACACACATACTTGCATAGGCAATCATGTAAAGGACTAGTTTTTAAATGAACATCAAAACATCAAATTATGAAATTTGGCCAAAGGATAACAGTTTCAGCTCAGAAATAAAATAAAATACAAAAAAAATCGAAAAAAAATTAATTGAAAAATATGAAACAAAAGACTTAAGACACAAAACTCGAATAAACAGCGATGTGAAGAAACAATTTGCAAATGAAAATGTAAAAATCTTGTGATAAGGCTTGGTCAAAGGATAACAAGAAATTTCAAAAAATATATGAAATACCAAAAGAAAAAATGATAATAATTAAGAAAACAACTGGCTAAAGACAAAAACCTTTGGTCAAAATATGTACCATCAAAAAAGAATTCCTTCTCATCTTATCCTAAATTTTTCTTCAAGGATAAGACGAAAATTTTCTATAGACAACTCAAGAGAAAAACAAAATTGAGAAAAATATTCCAGTAACACCAGGCTGTAATGGAAAACAGTTTCTTTTGAAAAAATTGCAAAAATTGGAAAAAATTGCAATGTTTAAAATACCAGGTGGAAGTACAGGTTGCATTTAAATTAAATACCGATAATTGTAATATTTTTTTTTTATTTTAAATTTCTATATATTTTTTTCGAAGGGTTCACCTTTATCTTCTAATATATTTCCTATGGATCCTTAGGCCAAATACTTTAAATTTCACTTGAAGGATAACAAGTAATATTTCAGCAGGACATACAATAAAGGACCAAATTTCACCAAGGACAAGGGAGAGAAATTTATATAAAAACAAAAAGGGAAAAATTATGAGACACACTCGAAAAGATCTAGGAATTTTCTGATTTTTCTTCAAGGGACTCCGAGTTTTCAATGGAAAAAAATTTTTCTTAATTTTTTCAAACCACTTTTAAGCTTTTTTGGATTGTTTTCAAATTTTGTTCCAAGGACTTTCTGGTGTTTAGATTTTCCCCCATTTTATTAATTTTTTTCGCTAAGCCTACAGCCTGTTTTTTGCAATTTTCAAATAGATTTTTCTAAGAAACTCCAATGGTGTCATTTATATTTTTAAAAAAATTAATTTTGCTCATATTTCTCATATTTTAATTGGAAAATAATAATTTCAAATAGTACCTGGATTGTAGTGATGGGCTAAAAATCGATATTATTTAATGTGTTTTTAAATAAATTTTTCTACTGTGAAAAGACAAAAGACTTAAGACACGTACACACAGCGTACGTGTAACTTGAAACAAATAGCAAATAACAATTGTGACCCTTTTAAACTCATTTTCAAGGATTTTTAGAGCTTATATTATTTTTTTTATTTTCCCCAAAGGATATTCAACCTTTATTATTGAACTTTAAAAATATTTTTTTAACAATTTAGACTTAAAATGTTCCCAAATTTATATGTAGGAAAATATTTTACAAAGATCGAAACAATTTAACTGGAAATATTTGCAATTATTTTAAACCAAAGGTAATGTCCATTTTAACCTAATTCTTTGGATTTATGGCAGAAAAATTGAATGTCAAAACAAAAGACTTAAGACACATACTCGAACTGCATGTTGCACTAGATTTTCAAAGGTAGTTTTATTTGGTAAACGAAAGACTTAAGACACAAACTCGAATTGCAAGTTACTATACAAATACAAATAGTTTCAAATAGATTCTAAATAATTTTACGAGAATAAAAACTGCCTTTTTGGTAATTTTGCCAAACGAACATTAACATTATTTCTCGTATATTTTAAATATGTTTCCCAAAAGAACTTTCGCGTTTAAAATCTTCAATTTTCAATGATTTCTTACTAGAGGTTTTTGGAAAATAAATAGTGAATTTAAACTGAATAAAGTCAATTTTAAATACCACGTGTAACAAAAATAAAATAAAATTTTCAAATGTATCCTTTTGACAAAAAAAGAACTACGGCTTTAAAATATACAATGTTTCTATGACTGTTGAAAAAACATGGCTAAATTAATTTAAATTAACTAACCACCATCAGACACTATTCGCGGCGTTTTTAGAATTTATATATTTTTTTAAAAATTTCCAGAAAGATTAAATGGCTTTTTCAAAAGAATCTGGTTTTTGTCGACCTTTACAAATATAATTTTCGAAGAGATGTGGGATTTTTTGTTAAGTTTAAAAAAATTCTTGAGGAGTATCAGGCTATAAAACTTAAATTTTACTTGAAGAATAACAGGCAAAAAGTCGAATAAAAAATTCAATTTCAAAACAAAAGACTTAAGACACAAACTCGTGATGCGTTTACGAAGATCAGACCTTAATGGTGAACTGTTACAGAAAGAATTTACAAGAACTTTCTGAGCTTTTCGATATATTTTGTAGAAATCTTCTAAAGACCTATCACGGTTCTATTCTTCGGCTTTTTTAATGAATATTTAATAAAAAGACTGATCGTGTCCGGTTTGGAAAATTTTAAGGGATATTCTTAAGGATGTTTTTGCAATACATTTCCGGGATTTGAAAAAGATTTTGAAGGATTAGGTAAGCTTTATTTGTAAGTATTTTTAAATACTCTTCAAACTATAGTTTCGAATCTTTTACACTTTTTTCTTTATGAAAAATGTTTCTAATAAAAATACGAAATTCTTTTAAAATCGAATTCATTTATAATAATTTTACTTACCAAAAAATTATGAATAAAATATATGCCAATATATTCGAGTTACCTAAAAAAAACAAAATTAAATGCGAATGGAAAATAATACAAATAAATTCATAAAACAAGTAAAAAGGACGTTAACTTTGGACGGGCGGAACTGTTGATACCAGGGAAAATCTGAATTATAATCCCATCACTAGAACACTGCTAGGTGGACGATATGTTTTTTTATAACTTAATCTGGGTCCTTTAAAATACAAGTGCCTTTAAATTCATACATTTTTGAAGAAGATGGCCTAGAATTTACAATTTATCTGTACAAAATTGTAACCTGTTCAGCTAACATCGCAGTTCTTTTCTATAGAAAAAATTCACAGACGCAAGGCTGGAGTATTTCCTATATACTATAACAAATACTAATTATAGATAATTTCCCGGGAAAATTGGCTAAAATTTCAAAAATATTAAGTCATGGGATAACCTATAGGTTGTATTAATTAGTGGACCCATATTAAATCGTTTCCTCTGAGAACCTGAATTGTAATATCACAGTTGATAAAAATATTTTAATACTTATCATTAAGTATATTAAAGTACAAGCTTCTTAAAAATTCCAAAGTTCTATGCAAAATGGGGACTAAGTTTTGAATTCAAAAGACCGATCTATGTCGCCAAAATCGGCCAAGAATTTTACACTGATCCAAAAAAATTAAAATTCCGAAAAATCATTTTTGCATCAAGTAATATATGAACGTTTCTATATTAAAAGTAAATAAAAAACAAAATCTAAAAATGTCAAAAATTTGGCATATCGCATTGGCATAAAATATCGTTCATTTGCTCCAATAGAGGCATTACTCAAAAAATTGAGATATTTCCATTTATCTTAGGCAAAAATTTTGGATTCTTTAAGAAATATTTTAAAGGGTAATGGACAAAAATCATGATTTTTTAAAAATATTTCAAACATATTTTTCTCGATCACTGAAAATTCGTGAAATTTTTGAATAATATTTCCACTACGGGTCAAAAGGTGTGAATCCTTTTTCCTGATAAAAAATTATGGATATTTCAAGTTTTTTTTCAAAGACTTCATATGGCAAACCGTGGTTTTTGTGAGGCCATTTTAAGTACGCTATACTGAAGGAGAGATGATTTCTAGGTCTTTGGCGATGTTTAAGAACAATTTTAAGACAATTTCTCGAAAAGGATTACAAGGATTTTCCGGAAAAAAATCGTGGCCTTTAAATAAATATTTGTAAATCGACTTCCTGAAAAAAAAAATATTAAATTTGTTAAGATGAATGCTCACTTAAACGTTGTAGAATTTAAAATATACAATAACCTCTGTGGATCATGCCATGTTGATATTTGACAAACTAAAGAAGTTACAGAGCTTTTTATTTGAAGTTAAATATAAATTAACAAAATAATGTATTGATTTTAAACTAAATAATTCAATCCATGGTTGATCTTGTACAGCCATTTAACCCTGATAGGTGCGACCTCTGTGACAATATTTTTTTAGAAAGTTACATTACTATTTGCTTTACTTTTTCAATTCGGACGTTAAATGTCAATCGATAATATAAAATGCGTTTTTCTTGAAACCAAATTTTTTAGATCGTATCACTCTTTGAGTAACTGAGCGATATATGTCTAAGATTCAGTAAAATCTAAAATACAATAATGATCGATAGCTGTCGTCACTTATCCAAAAAATGTCGACGAATTATAATGTGGCAAATCGTTAACTTTAATCCATCATATATAGGGATCTACATCTATATTTAAACGTATTGGATTTCAATAAATTCGCCTTCCTCCTATTCATTTCCACACTACCCTCGTCATTTGTAACATGCGAAAATATGCATATAATTCCAGGAAATTGACTAGCATAATTTAAATGTTCAATTATTTGCTGTTTCTTTTTTTTTTCAATTCTATAGATTAAAACAACAAATGACGTATTTGTTTTACTATTTCGTTGCCATTTATTTGTTTATATTGCTCTGAGTCTCTGAGTAAATCTCTCAATGTGCTACAATTCCAATGTAGTTATGATTTGCACTCGAATTACTAAACAAACTATATACAATTTGTTATAGATTTAA